AGTTAATAATTAATGTAGACCTCTGTGTGTTTCTTTGTGACTGAATGGCTGTGGGACAGAAATCTCTGCCAACAAATGTGTGTGTGTTTCAATGTATATATGTGCAACATGTGTGCGCAGGATCCTGATTAGTCAGAAGAGGGCATCGGGTCCCCTAGGAGTGGAATTACAGGCAGCTGTTAATCACCACGTGGGTGCTGGGAACAGAACCAGGTCCTCTGCAAGAGCAGCATGTGCTCTTAACTGAGCTACCTCTCTAGCCCCAGTTCACCTTGTTGTTGAGGCACCAACACCTAGAACTTACCTACTAGACTAGGATGATTGGGTAGGGAGCCTAGTGGATCTTCATGTCTCTGTCCCCAGCACAGGAATCACAAATGTGTGCTACCACACCAAGCTTTAAAAACAAAACACAGGTTCAGAGGGTTGAACTTAGGTCCCCTGCTTGTAAGGCAGAATGTCACTCTTCCCGCCGCCACCAGGCCTGAGAGCTGCCACTGCAAACCAGGTCTCTGGGGCTCCAAAGTCACAGTAGGTAAACCACCCTTCAACAGGAGAAACAGCAGGCCTACCCAGTCTTGTACTAGATCATTCCAAGCCCTCCTCCACCAGAATGTATTCTTGTTCCCTCAGTCACGCCTCCCCTACTTGAACTGTCGAGTCGTGGGGAAGCTCGACTTCTAGGCACCACACTCAGGAGTGGGGACTTCAGAAAGGGCCCTTGCAAGCATTGCATGCAGCTACCTCCTCGGACTTTGGGTAAGGCAGAGAGCTGAGTTCCCAGGAAAGAGGGAAGCCTTGGTCAGAACCAGAACTGGAGGATCAACAGTGCCAGTACGCTTGGCTGGGAAGAAAGTGGTGGCCCAAAGGTCCTGTACCCATCACTACTACAGTCCTGTTAGAGAAGGTGTGTGTGTGTGTGTGTGTGTGTGTGTGTGTGTGTGTGTGTGTGTGAACTCGCTGACTACCATTTCCCAGCAGGGAAGGCCCCAGGGATGGGGTTGCCAGAGGGAAGAGCCCTTACCACTGTGTCAGTTCCCTTCCTCCCCCCTGGAGGGAGCTATTCCTGGTCCTTCCCTAGAGGTGGCGCTATACCAACTGACACACAGCTTTGGTTCTAGAAGTGACAGGTGTGCCATTTTTGCTCAGTAGTCATGAGTCAGCCCCAGCCAACCACAGATGGCCAAGAAGTTCAGTGCTAGGTACTGCCCTGATGAGAGGAGAGCATTTATCAAACAGCACAGAGGATGCTCAGGAAATGTGTCTGGAGGAGGGAGTGTGCATAATCTTCTCACCATCATTAGATCAGAGGGACTGTACAGGTCTGCCTGGGCGTCATGTATTCTTGCTGCTGAGACCCTGGGTTCTGCCAAGAGTCAGAGCTCCTGAAGAAGAGGCATGGAGGACAAGGGCCCACCTGAGACCCACGATGAGATACCACAGTACCCTTTCCGTAGCAGGGCACGTGTCCTCTCTGAGAGCCCCTGCACCTGAGTTCTGATTCTTCCTGACTGTCACTCTGGGGTGGGGGTGGGGGCTTGCATGTCTAGACCTCGAACGTGACTCTGCTGATGGGGTCCCACTGCGTTCTAGGGGCGGAGCATGAGTCAGCCTTTCACATAGCCCACGCATCCTGTTTGTAAGGGACAGGAACACACTCCAGGAAAGGTGGGTCAGGGCCTGTAGGGGGGAGTGCGGGGGGGGGGGGGGGGTGGGACACGGGACAGAGCACAGGGGAATTCTGGCCTGTCCGTGACCCAGCTCCTGGTTCTTGTGGGTAGAATTGAGCTAGCGTCTGATCAAAGGGGCCCGCCAGGGAAGAATTCCATACATGCGGGGTGGGGGGTGGGGGGAGGGGCTCCAAGGTAGCTTTTGTTGCCCCTCACTGTTTAAGCCCACATTTGTGTTTGTGTTGCCAACTCCGTGTGTAACCTTACTAAGCCCTGTGTACCTACGGCTCAGAGGTGCTGCTCCGATTGGCTAGCTGGGGAACAGATGCAGGGCCAGAGGTTTAGTGACTCTAATACAACGTCTGCTGGTTACACGGAGGCTTTCTCCTTTAGCCAACACTTCCTGTCTCCAGCAGGCTTCAGTGTGACTCTCGGGCCATGATCTCTGCCTGCTGTTTTAAGATGCCTCGTGTCGGGTCTGGAGAGATGACTGGGGCTAGGAGCCCTTGGTGCTTTTGCTGATGACCCTAGGTTCCGTTTCCAGCACCCACGCCATGGCTCACAACCACGTGCAACTGCAGTCCAGAGGATCCATACCCTCTTCTGCCCTACGCAGGCACCAGGCACCCACATGGTATACATACATGCAATGCAGGTAAAACACCATGCACATGAAATAAATCTTTTTTAAAAAGCAGCTTCCTAGTTCCTCTCCCCTAGGGCACCAGCTGGTTTTTTGTATCTTTCTTTTAAAGCAATCTTTTAAATTTAAATCTATCTATCTATCTATCTATCTATCTATCTATCTATCTATCTATCTATCTATCTATACAAAGGAGACAGAGACACACAGTCAGAAAAGGTCAGAGGGCATATTTTTTATTTATTATTTAGTTATTTATTTAAAAAATATGTATTTATTTATTATATTGTGTGTTTAGCATTCCTTCCACGTGTGCCTGCAAGCCAGAAGGGGGCGCTAGGTCTCATTATAGATGGCTGTAAGCCACCATGTGGTTGCTGGGAACTGAACTCAGGACCTCTGGAAGAGCAGTCAGCGCTCTCAACCTCTGAGCCATCCCTCCAGCCCCCAGAGGGCATCTTGGAGTTAGTTTTCCCTTCCCATTATGTGGACCCCAGGGTTCCACCTTAGGTTGAGGCTAGCTGGCGTCTCTGCAGGTGTTTTATTCTCTTGGAGCCAGATGGCTTGACCCAAGACTCCGCTTCTTCCGGTGCTGTCAGTGGGAGGACTGGGTCTGTTACTTGTTGGCATGGAACCATTTAAACAAAGCACAAAGCCTCAGATATAATATACATGTATCCTAATTTAGAATTATCAACAAGAGTAATTACATAGTGCGGGTTACTGTTATCACTGTTCCCCTCCTTAAAGATTAGAGACAAGCATTGAATTATTTATTAATTGCCATACAGTGAAATGCTCCGTGGAGTTTGTGTGGGGCGGTGGGAGGTGGCTAGTGTTCAGCTAAGGAAAATCGACCCTAGTCGAAATCCTATTTGATAGAAAATTACAAGCTCCTGGGTTTAAGAGGGTGGTAGCAGGGCAGCTTGTTTGTAGTTTTGCCGCAGGCTATGGCTTGGGTAAGGGCTCTGGCCCTTGCATGTGACCTAGGTCAAGTTAACAGCTGTAATTCCTTTACTACTGGCACTTCAGAGGCTAAACTAGAGGCGGCGCCACCTGGAGTTCCCAGCTTCAGGCCAAGGGTCTCCAAAACTGCTTGTCCGCTTCCACACCAGGGCGCAGGCCACACTTAGCCATCTCGTTCTCCCCACTGCCTTCTATCAGCTCTGTCCTTTTTTTTTTTTTTTTCTACTACTCTGGCCTCACTTTGGCTTCCCCGGGAGTGCATCCGCCCACGCCCGGCGTCCCCAGACAAGTTCCCAAGCTCCGCCACTGCAGCAGCAGCGGTCACGTGCGCCAGTCCCTCGGAGGAGGCGAAAGGAAGGAGGGGTGGGCGGGGCCGTCCCTCAGTGCCACGCCCTTACACTCAAGACGCTTCCTCATTGGCGAAAGTTTGGAGGTACCGCTTCGGATTGGTCGGTAGGCGTGGCCTCGGGGAGCGGAAGGGAGGGCCGGCTTTGGAGAGGCCAGGGTTGCAGGGCGGACAGCGGGAACGCGCTCCGGGGGGTGGGGACGCGAGCTCACGACTGCTCAATGACAAATCGACTGGGTACTGCTGGGGGGCGGGGCGCGCGTGAGAGCGGCGAGTCAGGTTGTGTGTGCGGCCGGAGCAGCGGTGGGACGGGTTCCCCAGGTAAGGATGCTGCGCCCCGCAGGGGACCCTAGGCACGGAGTGCGCTCTGGGATAGGGAAGTGGATGCGCTCCCCGCGCGATCGCGGGCCTCCTGGTTCCACGTTGGGAGGGAGGGAGGGACACGTCCCCTGAAGAAGGACAACGCCCCGGGCCGCGCCCCGCTTGGCTTGGGGAGGTGTCCCCTGGGAAAGCCGGAGGGCCTCCCAGCGAGATCTAGGGGTGCTGAGGACATGGGGGAGGTGCCCCAGTTTCTCTTTCCTTTGCTGCTTGTCCTTCCCTTTTCCCACAAATGACCACTTCCTGCCTTTTCGGGCCTCCCGCCGGAGTTGGTCCACTTCCTCAGTTCCTTTCAGAGCGATAAAATGTTGCCCAAACTTCTTTCTTAAAGGTAGGAACTTGTTCTTTGGGTGACCTGGGGCTTGGATTCTTGAAGTTCGGAAGGGACTTGGTTGGTTGTGAATTACTTTTTGATCGGTCTTCCAAATGCCTTTCGGAGTGTGACTAGCATTAAAGGTGGCTTCTAGAAGCACGGTGGCTTGAAGGATTTTCCTGGCCTGGGCGTCTTGACTCCAGGTGCTTGGCTCCGACCTGGAGCCTCAGAGTGCGCCACACCCACAGCGGCGTCCTTCCTCCCACCGCGTTTAAGTGATTACTAGAACCTTGGAACTTTGACGTTAAAAGGCTGTTCTTCTGGGGAGCGGACCTGGAGTCTCCAATGGACAGATTATTCTTTGATTTGCCTTCAGCCCTTGTAGACAGAGAACCCCTTGCTCTGCCTTGATTTCCTAATCACTTTTCTTCAGTTTGGGGATATTGAATGATCAAAGCTTTCATAGAGGAAGGACTTGGGTTAGCTGTGCCAATTGCTTTAAAAGAGCAATATCTTGGATGTCTGAGAACACATTAAAGTGGTGATGAAGTTGTGAGGATTAGGGAACCAGGAAAGGAGGACCTGAATATTGGGAAGAACAGGGACTTGAGCCAAAGTTAGACGCAGGTGAACTAACTCCTCGTGTGTTAGACTTGGTCTTTTGTAGCCCAGACTGACCAGGAATTTGATTGTAACGAGAATGACCTTGAACTTCTGATGTTCCTGCCTGGAGTCTGCGTGTTCTACCACGCAGTGCTGAGGATGGAACTGATGAAACCCGGGGCTTCCTTTATGCTCAAGAACTCTACAGTGGCTCAGGAACTTTCTTAGTGCTGTGGTCTAGAGGAGGTCCCTTCTCTGAACGCCAGCATCAATGCAGCTGTGAAAAGGTTGGTCAACCACCCCCACGGTCAGGACTCTGTGAATCTGAGTCCAGGAGGCAGCGTTTAAGATACTCTCTGTGGGAGGGGCGTGATGCTGGGATTTGATGGAATGCTGGCCAAGAGTCTCACGCGGTGAAGCATTGGTCAGCAGCCTGTGAAGATGCTGGGAGTTAGTGGAGTATCTCTCTGGGTCCTCCCAGGGAGTGTGGAGATGCTGTGTCTTCCTGACTTTCCTTCCCATCCACCAAAAGGTAAATAGCTTCTGCTATCAGGTGCTCCCTCCATGATGCACGCTTTGCAACAACCCCCAAAGCAACAAGCTAATAAGCCACGGGCTGAAGCTGTGATGTATGTGTGTGTATGTATGTATGTGTGCTTCCATATGTGTGTGTATATTATATGTATTTTATATTTTTATTTATATGTTGTGTGCATATGTTTATATATGCATATATATGTATTTTAATGTTTTTTTTTGTTTTGTTTTGTTTTCCAGACAGGGTTTCTCTGTGGTTTTGGAGCCTGTCCTGGAACTAGCTCTTGTAGACCAAGCTGGTCTCGAACTCACAGAGATCCGCCTGACTCTGCCTCCCAAGTGCTGAGATTAAAGGCGTGAGCCACCACCGCCCGTGTATTTTAGATTTATTTTTACTTGTACGTTGTGTGTATATATGTATATTTATGCATTTTTTAGATTTATTTTTATTTGTGTGGTGTGTGTGTGTGTGCGCACATGAGTGCCCATGTGTGCTTATACCTTTGGAAGTCAAAAGAGGACATGGATGTGATTGATCTCTGGAGCTAGGGTGACAAATGTGCTCCTAACTGCTGAGCCGTCTCTCCAGCCCCTGCCGTGTTGTTCATTATTGTGTATATACATGTTAGGCATCTCCAGCCCTTTAAGTGGAGTCTTAAGTCTGTGACAGAAGTGGGAAGAAACTGAGGTACAGTCCCCTGTAGGTGCTCTCTTGATTCTGCCCACTCCAGAGCCTGTGTGTGTGTGTGTGTGTGTGTGTGTGTGTGTATGTGTGTGTGTGTTAGGAATTGGACCAGGGTCTTGTGCACGGCGAGGCACACATTCCGCTCATGTGGCACCCCAGCTTCTCCTCTTCCATTCCAGTTCCACCTGGGAACAGTGACTGCTCTTTTGTTTGTTTGTTTGTCTTTGTTTTATGAGACAGGGTTTCTCCAAGTAGCCTTGGCTGCCCTCGAACTCACTCAGTAGACCAGGCTGTCCTTGAACACACAGAATTTTTAATTCTTAGGCTGGGATGATGGCTCAGGGGTTAAATTCTGAGGCTCCACCCGTAGTACCAAATCAAACAGACAAAACACAAAGAACAGACAACATCTTTATTTCCACTGTCTACCGAGAACTTTCCAGATTCCATATAAGGTTCCAATTCCCATTTTCCTACCTTTAGTGTCTAGGTCCTATTTTCCAAAAGCTATCTAGTAACTTACACCCACACTTTTTCTACAGAGAATCCTGGAAAAACACGACCTCAGGCACAGTAAACCCTTGCTGGATCTCAGATAAGAGCAGTTATTTTTGCCAGGCAGCGGTGGCACAGGCCTTTAATCCCTGCACTTGGGAGGCAGAGGCAGGTGAATCTCTGTGTGTTCAAGGACAGCCTGGTCTACTGAGTGAGTTCGAGGGCAGGGGTAAGGACTAGAGTTTGGGTCCCCAGAGCCCAAATAAATGCCCAGTGGGCACAGCAGCCTGCTTGAAATTTCAGCATGTGAAGGAGACAGGATCCCTGGAGAAAGTGAGCCAGCATGTGAGATTCCCCGTATCAGCAACACAAGCAGATAGTGCACACCTATGTATCCTCACACACACACACAAAAGGAAGAAAACGATTTTTTTTAATTCCCTAAGATAGTGTTTCTCTGTAGCTTAGGACCCTGTCCTGGAACTAGCTCTGTAGACCAGGCTGGCCTTGAGCTCAGATGTCTGCCTGTCTCTGCCCCCGCCTGTCTCTGCCTCCTGGGCAGAGTGCTGGGATTAAAGGTGTGCACCACCACCACCTGGCAAGATCTTCACTCCATTCTTGCCTTGAAGTTCTTCAAGGTTCCTGCCTTGGGGATGAGGGATTAAGGCTCCGGGAGAAGTTTGAGGGCTGGGAGTTTGTGCTGTAGAATTCCGTCACGGTGAGTCTCTCTGGATTCTGTGACTAGAGCTCTCCCCCACCCCGCTCATCTCATTTCTGAATGTGGGGGTCATCCTTGGGGACTTTGAATCCAGAGACACTGTCATAACAACCAGAGCTGTTGGCGTGGAATTCTGTGAGCTGTCTGCAGGAAGACAGAATACTAGAACTCACTCCCTGAGGGCTGAGGATTGACCTCAGGACCTTGTGTATGCTAGGCAACTCCTCTACCACTGAGCTAATCCCTACAGCACAGGAGAGAGGTGTGTGTGTGTGTGTGTGTGTGTGTGTGTGTGTGTATGCATATATGCATGTATATGTATGTATACGTATGTGTACGCACGCACACACGCATTTGGAGGTCACAGGACAGACCACAGGGTCTGTCATTCATCTGAACTTTGCCCTGTAGGTCAGGCTAACTGGTCTATGACTTCCCAGAATCCTCTTAGCTCTGCATTCTGCTGAGACTGGGGTTTCAGGAATATACCAGGCCAGCTTCCTACCATGGGATTGAACGCAAGTCCTTTCACTTGCAAGGCAAATACTTTACCTGCTGACCCATCTCCTCAGCCCTGAGAGCCACTGTTTTTTATTGATTTATTTTTTCTTTCTTAATTTTTTAGTTCCCTATGCTAAGAATTGAATGCAGGACCTTGTATGTGAGGGGCATTTCTCTCTCACTGAGCTAAATCTCCGTCCTGGCTCCAATTACTTCTGAGCAGCACCTGTTTAGAATGCTGTTAGATGAGCCAGAAAAGGTCAGAACGGGGCATCAACCTTCAAGGGATCTGAGTCGCCATGTGGGTCCTGGGAACTGAAGCCAAGTCTTCTGGAAGAGCAACCCAGTTCTCCTAACCACTGAGTCCTCTCTCCAGTCCCAACTGTGAACTTCTGATCCTCCTGTCTCCACCTTCTCAGTGCTGAGCTAACAAAGGTGCACCTCATACGTGGTCCCCACAGTGCTAGGGATGGAACCCAGGATGTTACATATGCTGGGCTCACACTCCACAGCTGAGTTGCCTCCAGACCGCCACTGGCCTTCTTGAAGACTCGCCTCCACATTTTTTTCTTTTGTTGTTTTCATTTTTGACACAGGCTCTCTCTTGTAGTCCTGGCTGTCCTGGGAACTCACTCTGTAGACCAGACTTGCTGAGTCTCAGAGAGCCCCCTGCCTCTGCCTCCCGGGTGCTGGAGCTAAGGCATGTGCTGCCACTGCCCGGCTTCTTTTTAAAAAAGTTTTAGACTAGACACTATGGAGATGATTTTTGTTAGGGTGCTTCCCAAAGCATGTGGGTGCTGTAGGAGATAAAGAAACCTCTGGGGTGCCTGCTGTTCTAGAAACTTCCATATCATACCTGAACCCCAGGTTCTTTCTTCTGGTTCTTCATTGTCAGCTCCTAGAATTAATCGGCCAAATATGTAGTAGTTTTAGAAATTAGAAATTTAACACTTGCGGATCCCCAAACTAAATGGAATGCAGGGATTCTTTTAAATCAACTCCAAAACAAGTGGGGGAAAAAATTGTTGACAAAGTGATCTCCTTGGCAAACAGCTTAAGGTGGTTATTGGTCTGTGTAGGGTTTTTGTAGA